TGAAGTTCAAAAAGGCATTTTCCAGAGTTCTAATTCCCAGGGTCTGTCTATCCCAATATGTATCAATCTATTCCTCTATCCGTTCATCCATAGATGGTAGTTTAATCTTCTAGTATGAAGGAACTGTAACAACTCAAGTCATTGGAATCTGCAGCATAATTGTATAATACTAAAAGGAGAATTGGATGGTAGCATGCTTCATTAATTCTAAAACCCACTGACTAGGCTTTGAGCTTTGTTTTGAACTCAATGATCTTATGACTCAGTGCTCCTCAGTTTCACGTTCCCATAATCCCCACCATCTTAGAGCACAGAGCTGTAGCTTCTTAAAGCTTCCCCGGCAGTTATTTTATGGAAATCACCATTTCAGGTATGACTTTGTTTTACAAGAAGCAGTGATGAAAATATGAATAACTTAATCCCTAAACATGTGATCATTGTGTCCAACTATTGCTCAGAGTAGATGGTGAGGTTTCGTTAAAGTGTGGGATATAAAGGAGGCTAATATCAAGATAAGCAACTGCTTTTCAAGAATCCAGTTATGAGTTAGATACTGGAACAAGAAGTTAGTCTCTGACTCTGCTACTGAAAGCGTATGTGAGTATACCAGCCAGATACAAAAGCCTCCCCCCACAGGAATGAGACTTTCTTACAACTACCTTCCATGCTACTGTGTCCCAGACTCCCATATTATCATCACTTTGCCATGCTCTGTGCATCAGGGTTTCTGTTTAAAGCTTCGTGGTCACAGGAGGGAGGGAGCTGGGACTCGCCTCAAGAATGTATTTTCTAGACAGTCTCCAATGCTCAAGGAGAACTACTCAGCCACTCCATTCATGTGAGTAAATTACAACCCTATGACAAGATCCTCAGTTCAAACTGACAGATCTTGGCTGTTTCACCAAAGAGATTGACTTTTTTATTCTCTGACATTGCTGTAACCCGGAAATGGAAGACAGTGTCAGGGTTGCAGGGCAAATCAAGGCCTCTGGGGCCATCAGGATGAGTGTCTTTAACTGTCCTTATTTTTTATCACCAACATGTCCCATACTCTTTGTCCTCATGTCTAATTGCTTTGCTTTGCTTTGCAGGAAAATACAGAGTATCTTCTTCAGAGCCATCCAGCTCTTCCTCTGAAAACACTTCCAAGTCATATTCTTTGCTGAACTGAAGCACTGCAGATGCTAAACAATGTATCTGTAAAAGGACCTATGCCCTTTCTGAGTCACAAATACAAGGCATCTGTGAGTCGTGAAGAAGTGAACTGCTTCATATTGACTAAACTGCGCCTTTGTGCATTCTTCGGGAATAATCCTTTCTGGTTAATGTGTAAGGCAGTGAAGCTTCGCAAGATGGAGTTTTACATTCTGCCAATTCCAGAAGAGATGACAAGACATTTCAAACTTGGAAGGATTTGAAGGTCTTCAAGTGCCATTAAAGACTTTGGGAGTGAAGAATTCTCAGCTTCTACAAGGGTGCTTAGCACTGTGCAGTACTGAGCCATGAAAGGCAGTGCTATCACAGCTGTTGTCCAGCGATTTTAGTATTTTCCCTTGCCAACTCTCTGAATGATGCCAAAAGCCTATGTGGATACAGAAATACCTCCTAGCTTCTCATCCACCCTCCTGTTAGAGTCTGGAATGGCCAAAGAGTATACTGCTCTGCATTTTCTGTTTAACATTTTGTGGAACCAAACTTTCACAACTGAGAAGGTCCATTTCAGATCTTCACTTTTGAGTCAGATAAAAATGAAGACCGTGATAATTCCTGCATGTTTATCTTTCAGATAGGGTGCACCAAAAGCTCCATGTGGCTCCTCTTTAAGAAACGGAAGCAAACTTTATATCCTTAACTACAATTCTCCTTCCCTTGATATGTAGTGTGGTAAGAGAAAGATGGTTCCTGCCCTTTACCACAGAGAGGGCTGCATTTATTTAGTGTTAAGTATGCAAGGATTCTCTTGTATAAAATCTGTATGTTTAGATCTTCTGTTGTTCACCAGAGGAGATTCATACTTGGAGGGCTCAGAGTGTCAATTCTGCAGTGAATAGAAACCACCATGTGCTAGGCAGGATGAAAGGTTCTATATAAATTATTGCTCTAACACTACATTTGTGGAATCAGCTATTTCCAAGCCTCTATGCCTTTAAAGGCAAGGTTCAGATATCTTAAGCAAAGGGTTATGAAAGTGCCTGCAAAGTATTTGTAGCAAAGACAAATGTTAAGAAATCTTAATGTGAAATATGATAGAAGAAATTTCACAAATCATGAAGACTTAGATTTTGGGCCAGTATCAAATACCGCTGTCAGGTGGTACAGCCCCATTTGGTTCCTGGGAAAACAGGGCCTATGTTCAGCAGTGGTGAACTTGTTCCCTGGACTTTGGAGTGGACTAGAATTGGAAACTGTTGCTTTCAGTTACAGGGATGTGCGACAGTTTGGGATGGGCAGGTGTTGATGATGATGATGACTGAAGACAATAAACAAGCATCAATCATCAAGTGCATCATTTATAGAGAAATCATTTTTGTTTGAAATTGTATTTATAATACTAGAACTAGAACACAATTACAAATTAAGAGTTACTTGAAAATCCAGAATCTCTGAACTGTATGGTCAGTGGAAACTTGAAAATATGACCTTCATCCTTCCAGAAAGGCCATTCATTATTCCAAGTAAAATTTGCCTTTGGACAGCCATTTGGTCTAACGTACCCCAGAAGCAGCTTGTGCAACAATGACGTGCTACAGAAGGAAACCCCTGTCAGTGCGATAGACTGCTTATAAACTGTAAAGTATGAGTCCCTATAGGCAGAACAGTCCCACTGCAACTTATCTCTGAAGCCATTTCATCTCTGAGGTTTCATCACATCTCCAAGATTAGGTAAACCTGGGTCTAGAGTGTATGTGAACGAAGAATCAGGGTGTGATGCTGAACTATTCTGCATTGAAGGGCTACCTTCGGGTAGATGTTCGAAAGTAAGGTCCTTGTCAGCATTACAAATGCTGTGATAGTTTGTGAAAGAGAAGTAGCTAAGAAATTAACTGTGCCAGCCTTAAAGACTAGGGGCCAGGGTTTCACTGGTCTTAACACAGGGATAAAGAGAACGGCAGAGAGCAGGATAGCTGGAAGGGAGTGCTAAATGAAGGAAGAATGGCAAACACATGGCAGCAACTGCTCTACACACCTCCAATCCACTCTCAGCAGCAAGAACCTCGATGAGGCTCCAGCACAGGCAAGCTGGCAGTGGTGTCACTGCCACTTTAGTCCCCTCAGAATTCTGCTGGTTGGGACAGCTGGCTACTTGATTCTAACCTAAGTCAGCCTGACTCCCCTGCATCCTGACTGAAGCCCTCCAGTCACCCCCTTTCCTGAAGTAAAGGGTGCTGCAGGGCTTTTTTAATGATTGCTACATGTGGCTGTCACCCTCATACCTCCTCCTGCTTAGCTGGAAGGGTAAGTATACTTATTTGGCCTAACTGCAGCGTTACAAAAAACAAAATGAGAGCGCTTCTATCTTACTAAAGAGCTGAGGAGGCCTAAACGGGCTCAAAATACTTTCTTGCTAAGGAAAATCGCTACTAGCTGGAAAAGTACAATGCAGGGGAGCACAACACATCAGAGAGTGAGATTCTGAGTCAGAGCATGTGCCTGTGCCAAGTGGAATAAAGCACTCAGAGCTCTCTTTTGACCTGCCAAGCCCATCTGATCACTGGAACAGGTGGGATCTCTCCCCTGCCTACCTTCCTTCTGTGGCTGTGGGTGGGGAGCAGTCACTACTTTGGCACCTTCACATGATTTACTCCAATTCAGGAAAAACAGCAAAGGATGGAATTGTGACAGGCAGGCCTCTCAGGGACAGATGTGCCTTCTCCTGCCCTCCCTAGTTGTCCCTAGACTGTGACCATTGCTGACCATCTCTTGTTTATGGTTCGAGCCCAGAATTCACCCTTTGGTCCTAAAAGACTTTGGGAATTTTCAAAGCGAGCAGCGCAAAGAGGCCGGGACCATTTTATCCACAGTGCAGTAGACTGTGAAAATATGTGTCCTGGAACAGGGGTTGGCATGTGTGCAGATCGTGATACCTTTTCTCTGGATCATGAACTCACTTATGCTCTGATCTCTGTGATACTTTCACAGGCCAGGGGTCTGGCCAGTGCGTATGCTTCTTACGCTGCACCAAGAAACTTGTACTCAGGAAACAGCTGGAAAAAACAGCTGAAAAATCAAATTAGATAGGAATAAGAACACCTCACATACAACTTGCATAGTCTTTAAGGATTGTACACCTGGTACTTATGTTGCAGCACCTGACACTGCAAGTGGATCGGTTAATCCCATGAGCAGAAGAAATAAGTAATTTGTTAAAGGTTTCTGTCCCGTGTCCTCCAACCCCCTCTGCCTTCCAATCATCCTGGCTTCTGTGGTCTTCCTCACATACCCATTCTTCCCGCAGAGCTTTGGGCCTCCCTAAACCTCCAGCCCGAGGCACACCATGCTTTTTGCTGACTCATTGTCCCTCACACACCTCGTTGGCCAACAGTTGGTAGGAAACTGGATGAGCTGCAGCGAGGGCAGAGATGCAGAGATGCTGGATGTCCAGCTGGGACACACAGCTGACTAGCTAGCTCACTGTGTCGAAAGGACTGGTAGTGGTCACATCCTGCCCTTCTCTCCCTTGCTGGAAACGTTAATAAGTTCTACCCAGCCATCAATACTTGTGAACTTAGAATGTTTTCGGGGCTTTTGGTCAAAAATTGAATGCTCAATAGCATTCAATGCTATTGAGAAGGCAGTGGGCTGACAGGCAGGCAGATTTACACACAGATCATGTGATTTCCTGAGGGCTTTCCTGGTAGAAAACTGGGGTAAAACATGGATACAATCTACACAAAATCTAGGATTATTTCTTCAAACTTACTCCCTTTCTAAGTTGTTTTCACCTTTTCTTAAGGAGAAGGAGCGCTAATCCTCTTACAACCTCTTGGATCATTCCTCCAGGACAACACCACCTTCTCCTTCTCTTCCCCACCCCACCTCCCAGCACTGTGCAAAGCGGGGCACTAGAGTTTTTTTATCCGACAGGAGACTTCTTGCTCTTTCACACGCAACCTCCTCAGAAATGTCAGTGAGAAAAGCTGACGGGGGTGCGTCCCCCCTCCTCCCCCCCCCGCAGACTCCGGGTGGCCACCTCCCAGCCCCCGGGGGCTGCTGTCGGGGGGCCCTTCCGCCCCCAGGCCGTCGGGGCGCCGCCCCCGCCGGCGGCGTG